ACTTGGATGTTTTTTATTTCTTTTTCTTTCAAAATTGTTCTGGCAGGATATCCAGCCCTATATTGAATAAAGGTGGTGAGAGTTTTATTCCCAAACTTAGACAAATCACTTTCAGCTTTTCAACATTAAATATGATGTTGGCTGTGGATTTGTCTATATGGCCTTTATTATACTCTAGTACATTCCATCTATACCTGATTTATTATTAGTTTTTCTCAGGTAATATGACAAAATAATGCAATATTTATAATATTACAAAATAATGTTAAATTTCATCAAATGCTTTTTCTGCATCTATTGAGATGATTATATGATTTTTATCCTTCATTCTGTTAACATGATATATTGCATTTATCAGTTTGCATATGTTGAGCCATTCTTCCATTCCAACAATAAATCTCATCTGGTCATGGCATATGATTCTTTTAATGTGCTCCTGAACTCAGTTGTCTAGGATTTAGTTGAGAATTCTTGTATCTATGTTCATCAGGGATACTGGCCTGTAGTTTTCTCTTGTATTGTGCTTATATGTCTTCACTAGGCAGATAATACCTTGCAAAACAATTTTGGAAGGATTCTCTATCAATTTTGGAGAAAACTTTGGCAAGATTGAATAAAGTCTTCTTTAAATGTCTGGTAGAACTCACTCAGGAAGCAATCTACTCCTGGGCTTTTATTTCCTCTAAAGTTTTATTATTATTACTATTATTATTATTATTATTATTATTATTACTGAGTCAGTCTCCTTACATGCTAATTGGTCTCTTCACATTTCCTACTTCATCACAATTCAGTCTTGGTAAGTTGTATGCTTCTGGAATTTAGCCATTTCTTCTTAGGGTCCAAGACTCTTAAAGTACTGTCTCCACAATTGAGGAGCAAGCAGGACATTTAAACGTAAGTCAAGAATGTGGCAACGTGAGAGTCTGGGGACAGAAATCCAGGGGATTTCTGGAAATCTTTTTATGATGTTATCTTTTTATAATTTTTTAAAATTATTTTTATTAAATTTTATTTATTTTTTTTAACTTACCAGAGAGAGACAAAAGTAACTAACATGAGAAAGCAAGGCACCAGGTCCAGAACTAGAACCATAGCCAGCCATGTGGGAATCCAGCACCCTAACCACCATGTCACCTGCCTGTCCCTATGATGGCACCTTTAATGGGTGCTGCTGTTTTCTTGATTCTGGGTAGTCTCAAGGAGGGTCCAAAGTGAGATGTTACCCTCAGGTCTCTTCTGAGTATAGAACTCAAGACAAAGAACCCTTAGGTCACTCAGATCTCTTCAGTCTTTATTACTTGGGACTATGTTTGCAAAAGTTGAACAATTCAGGTTCAGTGTGGGCACTACAGGACCATAGTCAAGTGCTCAGAAAATATCCATCAGTCAGGAGGGAAAAAGGGCTTGGACTCCTCTTATCGTGTAAAATAAACCACCCAGGACTCTGGGCATGTGTTTTAATATCTAGTAAATGATATTTTTAAGACTAAACAAAGAAAAGGTACAGAGTGTCGGAAAAGTCATGACATATTTTTCGGTTTTTCTATTCAAAAATGCATCATCACTTTTCCAACGACCCAATTTTTTTTTTTTTTTTACTTCTCGGGGGCTGTTTATCAGTTTCAGTCACAGGGTTTCCTCTTTCAATTATGTTGTTTTTTCATTTGGATCTTCTCTCTTGTTTTTCTTGGTTAAACTAGATAAAGTTTGGTCAGTTTTATATATTTCAAAAACAACAACTGCTAGTTTTGTCGATCTCTTCTATTCTCTCTCCAATCTTTATTTCCTTTTCTTCTGCTTTAGTCTTTATTACTTCCTTCCTTCTACTAACTTGAGCAAAGCATGTTCTTTTTCATGTTCTTTGACGTGTAAGGTTAGGTTCCAGCCTGGTGGCACATACAGTGGCAAACTAAACTACAGTGCTGGAAGCCATGTGGTTCTCCATGGTTCAGATCCCAAGATCAGCTTGAAAACACACCAGGCATGTGTGCACATACCTAAGGTCCTGAGGAGTTGGAAAGCTGAGGAAGCAGAACTAGAACCTATGAGAGCCTGTTGAGGATCTTTCTCTCTCTCTCTCTTTTTTTTTTTTTTTTTTTTGAGAGGTTTTTGCTATAGGGCACGTGCGCTCACCAGACAGACAGAGAGAGACAGAGAGACAGAAAGCGAGAAATCACCCCCCAGAGGGGTTGGCCACGCCACAATCCCTTCTCCTCCATTATCCTCTTGGGATCTTGGGCACACACACACACGCATCCGGCGTGAGTTTAAGCCACTGGGTCCGGGATGCAAACCACGGTCGACTACGTGGGAGTCCAGCGACATAGCCATTATGCTAACTGCTGGTCCCTCTCTCTTTTTCATGCTCACATACATCCTTTCTATCATGAATAAACCTTTTTTTAAAAAAAAGTGAAGTTGTTTAAGGTCTTTCTTTTATCTCACATAGGCATTTATTGCTATAAGCTTCCCTCTTAGAACCACTTTTCCTGCATTCTATTAGTTTGGGTATGTTGTGTTTTCATTTTCATTTATTTCACAATACTTTCTGATTTCCTTTTTAGTATCTTATTGGACCCGTTGGTTGTTTAGGAATGTGTTGTGTAATGTCCACTATTTATGAATTTTCTAAAACTGACAGCTATTGGCTTTTTATTTTAGAGTATTGTGGTTAGAAAAGATATTTGATATAATTTCTGTCTTCTTAAATGTATTAAGATATGTTTTGTGACCCAATGCATGCTCTATCTTGGAGAATGTTCTGCATGCATTTGGGAAGACTGTGTGCTCTGCTGCTGTTAATGGAATGTTTTGTATTTGTCTGTTAGATTCATTTGGTTTTAGTATTATTTCCATATTGATTTTCTGTCTGGATAATCTATCAATGTTTAAAGTTGGATATTTAAATCCCCCACTATTTTTAGATGCGCTCTACTTCTTTCAATTCTGCTAACAAATTTAGGTTCTCCATATGTGTATTTGAAATTACGCCGCAATCCCATCTCCTCCATTCTCCTCTTGGGATCTTGGGCATGCATGCACATGTGCCCGGCGTGAGTTTAAGCCACTGGGTTTAGGACTTGAACTGCAGTTGACTACATGGGAGTCCAGCGACATAGCCATTACACCAACTGCTGGTCCTCATTATATGAATTGACCTCTTTATCATTATATATACTAACCATCTTTGACTCTTATGGAAAATTTGATTGAAAGTCTATCTTGTCTAATCTAAACACAGTCACCTTTCTCTCTTCAATTAGCATTTCCATGGAATATCTTCTCCATCTCTTCTCTTGCAGCCTATGTGTGTCCTTGATGGTAAAGTGAGTCTCTTATAGGCAACACATTGTTGTACTTGTATTTTAATTGACATACACCTTTGTGGAGCACGATGTGGTTTTTCAACAGGTGCGTGCAGTGTGCAGTACTCAAACCAAGGACATTAGGACTTTCAACATCTTCAACAAAGAGCATTACTTTATGTTGTGTACCTTCTGTGTTCAGTCTAAGTTTTTTCTCTTCTGTATGATTGGCAATGCCCTTTTTTAAACTCTATCAAGTTATTGGAGTATTAAAACTACTTCCGTTAGAGTAATTATTGATAAGGACATTTTGCCATTTTTAAATTCTTTTCATCTTCTTTCTTCCTGTCCTGCTATCTTCCTTCATGATTTGCTGATTTTTTTTAGTGGTATACCTTGATCCCTTTCTTCTTTTGTTTTTATATACCTACTATAGGTTTTCTCTCTTGTTGATTACCATGAGGTTTATACAAAACATCTTATAGTTAAAATAGTCCATTTTAAGCTGACAACTTTACTTCAATCACATACAATAACTGCACTTTTATTTCTCTTCTCCATACGCATTTTATGTTTATCAGTGCCACTTATTCTGTGTAACCATTAACAAATTACTATGGCAATATTTATTCTAATACTTTTCCCTTTTTCTTTATACCAGAGTTGAGAGAGATTTTTCACACCACTCTTACAGTATTAGAATACTCTGGATTTGACTATATATTAATTCATACCAGTGAGATTTACATTTTCAAATCTCTTACATTGTTAGCATACTTCCATTTTACCTTGAAAAAAAGAGTCCACCAGTTTTTGAAAGGCAGGTACACCAGTAATGAACTCCCTCAGCCTTTGTTTGGAGATGTCTTGGTCACTCCTTCATTCTTGAGAGATCAGCTTTGCTGCAGGTAGTATTCTGCTGGCAGTTGATCCTTTCAGCACTTTGGATATGTAACAGCACTCCCTCCTCGCTTTCAGTATTTCTGTTGTGACATCTATGTGGAGAGATTCCTTACCTTGACTTTTCCTGCACTGTTTCCTTGACTTTTGAAAATGAACGTGATAACGTGTCTCAGATTTTAGGGGGCTCTTAATCTTCGTTGAAATACTTTAAACGTTCGTCTCCTCATCCTGTCGAAGCCACACACTCTGAAAATAAAACCAGGGCGCCAAACTCTACTCCTCTGGGTAATAAGAAAAGCACTAACTCAGACACCAACGGGCACAAGCCCAACATCGAAGAAGTCTGCTTTTAGAACACCAACAAAATAGACCCCCGAAGGGGGTGCACCGTTCCTGGAGATACTGCAATACCAGGTCGATGCGTGGAGTGGACGGAGCAAGCCCCTATTCCAACTCCCTGTCCCAAAAATCCATTTAATATATTGTCCTCGGATAGAGGACGTATCAGATATTAAACTGATAAGAACAGATACTACACTTGATCTTAGCCAAAAGGCCGAGAAGCGATACCGGGGAAGCCTCCCTGGCCGGTGTCTATCTCCTATCGCCCATATTGCACTCGCGGTGACAAAATCACGCCCAAGTAAAGACTCACCCTCCCACTATTTTCACACTGTATTACTGACATGCTCGCCAGACATGCTTAATTGCCCAGATTGTTACTTATCTGGGGAATTTTCACTTTCCTATTTTCCTCCCATGGCTCCCGAGCAAAACCGCCATTTCAAATTTGCATGCCCCGCCACGCGCTGGAAGTACTGCAATACCAGGTCGATGCGTGGAGTGGACGGAGCAAGCCCCTATTCCAACTCCCTATCCCAAAAATCCATTTAATATATTGTCCTCGGATAGAGGACGTATCAGATATTAAACTGATAAGAACAGATACTACACTTGATCTTAGCCAAAAGGCCGAGAAGCGATACCATACACGGCCGCCTGGTCAGTGTCTATCACCTATCCCCCATATTACACGCGCGGTGACTAAAGTTACGCTCAAGTAAAGACCCTTCTTCACATTATTTCCACACTGTATTACAGTCATGCTTGACAGACATGTGTAATTCCCCAGATTGTTACGTATTTGGGGAATTTTCACTTTTCTATATTGCTCCCATGGCTCCCGAGCAAAACCACCATCTGAAATTTGCATGCCCCGCCCCGCGCACGCCGTGCCGTGCTTCCGGGCCGGCCTTCTCGCCGCCCAACCGGAAACCGCCTGTACAACACCGGGTTAGCGGAGAGCTCCTTCAGTCCCGTCGCCGCTTTCTTTCCAGTGTTTCCTCCCCCACACCCTCTCTTTATATTTTCCATACATACAGCTACTCAAAAGAATCTTACAGTGATAGTCTGATGTTTGCCTTCCTTGGTCACAGTCGAGGAGCTGGACGATTTTATCCTTCTTTGCCACGATGGCAAGGAAGTACAGTCGACAGAAGTAGAGCCGTCTCTCGGCTGGCGGTTGGAGCAGAAGATGGATACAGAGGACAGAGAGAGACGCCCTAGGCTCTCACGAGGATGATGAAAGGGATTAGATAAGCGAAAAGTCTCAGGCTGCGAGTCTTCAAATGACAGCATCCTAGATTAATTTTCTGGGACTCCAGAGCCTGCACATCAACAAGATGAGCTGTCAGAGGTTTAATGAAGCTCGTCCTCGCCGTCCGTGTTTTGGGGCGAGCACGAGAATAGCCAGAAGCTGGAACCTCAGAGAGGCTGGTCCAGGATGCCAGCAGGAGGTCATTTTTTTTTTCTTTTTTTTGGGAGAGGTTTTTGCTATAGGGCGCGTGCACTCGCCAGACAGAGAGAGAGAGACAGAGAGACAGAAAGC